GGTAGTTAGATTGGTCTCTCTCTCTCTCTCTCTCTCTCTCTCTCTCTCTCACGCACACGACTGCGCGTGTGCACCCGACTGACTGTTTCGTCGGCGTTTCACCGACAGATTCATCAGGAGGCCGAGCACATCTATGAACGAGAAAAACTGTCATTGCTCATCATATTGTAAACATTTGTGGCAGGTTGCGGGACACACTAATACAATAAAAACTGACAGACTAACAAAGCCTGGCTTTTTCCTGAGACCTTAAAAATAAGCAGTGCACCTCCGTGTTGGCAGGGAACACCTCGCTGTTGGCAGGGTGCAGGGTACACACGTCTTCACGGGCGTAACGAATTCAATTTCCCAAGAATATTCACCATATTCAAGGGTCGTTACTATGTGCACCCCAAAGGAGAGACGTGAGACAGTCTTTTAGAAATCAGAAGAACGAATTCTTCCCTCGCTTCTACAAAAAATAAACGACGCTTTCTTCGCTCGCTCCCCTTCACTAGTATGTCTCAATTATCACCCACCCCTCCATTGAGAAGGATAGGTATAGCTCATCACTCGCAATAAGGTGTGCTGAAGAGAGAGGAGTACTACATTAACGTTTCGTTGTTATTTTAAATCACCAGCCATCGAAGCATAGCGTGCCCCTCAAGACAGCACAACTATTTTAAATGCCCACTCACCATGTACCCGCCCTTTCCATCTGCAAAGGCGCCGCAGCACCGTGCGCTACAGGACCAAACTGATCGATGGATTACGCTAAGAAGAGGACACCTCATTCACTACTATCAACTGGCTGCCTGATCGATGGCTGCTTTTCATCCTTTCCGTAGCAAGAACGGAACCCCACCGACCTCACAACGCCGGCCGACTTTTCTCCCACCATCACTTCCCACGCCCCCATCAAAATTTTTCGCGGCGGGCTTCCCCACCGCTTCGAAGCCCTTCGTTTTTTCGCTGTCTTCCTCACAAAAGAGAACACGACGCGTATTCCAATATAACTCAAAGAAGCGCTCAGCCACCACCCCGCAGGTGCAAAGGGCAGGATCACAACAGCAGACGCGCGACTGTTCACACGCTCAGCAGGTGCGCCTGATGTCCATATCCTCCAAACGACAGAGCGGATCATCCACCAACCATGCTAAGCAGAGAAACCGTGCCTAGGCGTGCCATGATAGACCAGCACTTTTTCATGACCCGGGGACCAATTCCTCGAGTAAGTGCTTCGAATTCTTCTAGGCAAGTCTTTGGGGTTACTATATAGTTCAACACACCGTGCCTAGGCGTTTTCTGAGCATATTTCCCCATAACGAGCTCTCATCATCTCTCCCAATCGTGCGCAATTAAGCGCACTCCAGGCACCATTCATCACAGCCGCGCCCCCCTTCTCGCGACATCACCACCGGCGTTCGTTAGTGCGCACTCTGCCGCGCGCGTGCGGTCATTCAGAAAAGCTGTCGGATCACCAGCGCTCCGCCCAGATGCCGCCCATAAACCATCATTCTAATCTTTGGACGTCACCGTCTTCCAATCGCCACTACTACTAGTCGAGCAAATCCATTGCATCGTCAACGTGATTTAAACATCCACTTCCTCATTCATAATTATCACCACCATCGCTCTCATCGTTACTACCAGTCAAGCAAGCCCTCGTTCGTACCTCCACTCTCATTACCATACTCGGCACTCTCGCACCATGTGGCTACTATCAAAACTTTAGGCATCACCGACACGGAGCTTGAATAACAAAGCCATACAGAGAAATACAACGAGGCGCTCGCAGTCCTGACCTAGATAGATGTCACTAGCCTGCCATGGGGAACTACACAAGGAAACGCGGGCAACGAACGTCCAGCTCCCYCCCCCCCCCCCCCCCCCCCYTGAAGATTTCGAAATCGCATCCCTACAGCTCAAATCATGGCTCCGTCCATCTTTTTTTTTCTTTTTTTTCTTTTTTTTAATAAAAAGCCCAGGTTGTTGTAGAGATGGGATACTAGACGGATGGCAGTCACCCACAGTACTCAGCCACTCGGTTGTCCAGATGAACCCCTTCTGAAGACCCCACCCACCCTTCCTCTCATCTTTTTGACCTGGCGCACCCCCACCCACCCCCTGTCCTACCCTAGTGTTAACCACCCAGGACCATCACCCATTACCATCTTGGCGGGGGTGACCTGACCAGACAGCGGTTGCAGGCACCGGGACTAAACAGACTGCTAAACCCTGCTCAGCCCCGGTTGAAGCAGACGCCGTGCAAGCCTGATTGCACGGGGACGTCGGGAGCTAGGTATGAACATGCTACTACAGGTCTTCATGAGGGTGCACAGTGACTCCCATCTATCTTAGTTGTGTGGTGATCATAGAGAGCTGGGTATCCTCCCTTCCCTCGTATGTCCCTGGAGCCCGTTCCGGCCCCGCGGTAAGGTGCAGTATTTCCTGACACCCCCGACATCCCGTACTAAAGAACTGCTATGCCATTCCTACGTTCCCTGGAGAGATTCCTAGCGTCTCGACCGGATCGAAAAAACACCGTCTTCTATCTTCACCCACTCCACAGACGACAGGTTCTTGACGAAGCGTCCGAACTCCTGCGTCATACCGTCTTCATCATCTTAAAGCGAGAGACCACAGACCATAGAAAATAGTCCAAACGAAGCCATACTACGATAATTACCGTACATCTACATCAACCTGCGAAATTGAGGGCAATTGGTTCCATCTTTATCACCCACTCGATAGAGTGGATAATTACTGCATAGCGAGCGCATCGCCAAAGAGAGTTACATCTGGTTTACTACATAGCGTCGCAGAAAAGAGTTACATCTGGTTTACTTAGGTCAGACTTGTCCAAAAATGAGGATAATTACTACATAGCGTCGCAGAAAAGAGTTACATCTGGTTTACTACACTGTCCAAAAATGGAAGACAACTTCAGTCAGACTTGCTACAGAGTTACATCCAACCACAGATGCGAGAGTTAAACTCGAGAAAACAGTTCCGTCCGCTTCAAACCAGCATTTGAGCATGAGCAACAGGAGGATATTGCACCAGCCTGAACAAACGACTTGTAGTCGAACTCCTCAGCAAAAACCTAGATCAACAGAGGAGACGGGGACGTACAGGCGCGCCTGACTTCAGGGTGCGTACGCGCGCGCCTGACTTCCGGGTGCGTACGCGCGCGCCTGACTTCCGGGTGCGTACGCGCGCGCCTGACTTCCGGGTGCGTACGCGCGCGCCTTACGTGCTGGGGGAGTACACATCATTCAGAATGGAAACCTATCATCGACAACCAAGACCAAAACCTGGTAAATGCTAGTGGAACAGACGCCTAATTCGCTGGGGATTCGGCGTACAGGGTGACAGAAAATTGCAGAGTCACAATACGTCGTTCTCCAGCCTTCCCGCCACCAATAATGGAAGCAACTGCCTGATGCCGCCGACTCGCTAAGAGATGAAAAACAAGCCCTCCATATATGCACCCTCTTAGTATCGTCGGATCCTCCACTTCCCCTCCCTCCACCCCCACCAACTGCTGTAGGAGCACATTCAAGCGCTGCCGAAATCATCAATTCTCTCTCTCTCTCTCTCTCTCTCTCTCTCTCTCTCTCTCTCTCTCTCTCTCTCTCTCTCTCTCTCTCTCTCTCTCGCTCTCGCTCTCTGTGTGTGTCTCTGTGTGTGTGTGTATGCGTGTGTATGTGTGTGCGCTCTCCCCTCTTCACCCGAAAATAACGCCCAGACTTTCTATTCAACATACCCTAAAAAGATGAGATTTTCGTTTTTACTCCTTTTTTTCCCAAATAGAACGCCCCTTCGAATAGAAGGCCCGGGCGTTATATTCGAATAGAACGCCCGGGCGTTATATTCGAATGTTCCATGAGCAGAGTGCCTTGAAGAGGTAGTATACAGGGGTTTTAAGGGGTGGGGAAGGGGTTATACTGGGTTTTGAAGAGGGTTGAATGGGGTTTTGCCTTCCAAATGGGTATATTTCGGGGGGTTAAACATGGGTTTTGAAGAGGGTTGAATGGGGTTTTGAGGGGGTATAGTTCGACTTGATTTGTCGTTTTCATTTTTTATTTCCACGTCTATAAGGAATTTTGCAGTGACCCTCAGCCAAAAGTTGGTCGCAGTGCAATCCTGGACAACATAATTTTTTTACAAATTTTTATTTTTATTTTTTTTTCGGAATTTTGGGGCCTCACTGAAGTTACCACAATTTTACTGAATATAACTCCCAGGCGTTATAAACGAATATTAGGCCCGACGGGCGTTATATTCGTACACAACACCCGGGCGTTATGTCCGGGTGAAGACTGTAGTGCGCTCTCTCATAGCTGCAACGCCTCCTCTCTCTCTCTCTCTCTCTCTCTCTCTCGCGCGCGCGCGCGCGCGCGTCCTCTCTGGTGCGCTCTCAGCTGCTATACTAGTACCTCTCTCTCATAGCGCCAACGCTCGCAAATATGGAGCTATTAACGCACATACATTTTCGTTGTCTATCCACATTGATGTACAGCTCTCCCTTATCACTTCGCTCACGTGAGCATACATGTCTTCAATCTGCTCATTGGAGGCGCCCTGCGCGTACACGTGTATTGGGCGGCAACACACGTCGTGTGAAAAGAGAAGCTCACAAGCTTGAGAAACACGTATACCGTAAAGACGGTGAAGTTATGTAATTACGGACTCCTCAAGAGGAAGGAAGTCCGACAAATCACCCCACGATCATTTTACAATGCAGAACAACAACAATCTCTACGACGGCCTTCCATTACGGACCACGATATAATTACACGCAAGCGTTGTGATTACAAAAGTCCAATCACCGCAATGAAAATTTCCCCATTGACACGAGAGACACTTCTACCTATTCTACACGGTGATTATGTACCCACAACATGTTCATCTTCCAGTGGGCAAACCTTTCGAAACACGAATAGAAGATAATTTCTGTCCGCCGGACGAACCCGCATCCACTGATTAAAAAAGCCCACCACCGCAGTAGCACATCATTTCAATGCCCCTCGCCTCTGACAGCATGAAACATCACCCCACGATGCCCTTTGCTTCTACACACGAGAGCCAGCAAGAAAATCTACCATTCCTGTCACACCTGCCTCTCAAGTTCCGCCGCTGATCCTCCCATGTATTTCTTATACCACTGCCGCACACACTGTCTCGATTATCGTTTTCTGCGACATTCCCCCCTTCCCACAGTCCTCGTCACGGTCACTTTCCTTCACGCAGCATAGCCTAGACAACACTGCACGCAAATGCACAGCCTGTCAAAAGATAAACAAAGCAAAAACAAGGACAATAGCGAGACCAGAGCATACCGATTCATATATCTCGCACAACGATTTTTCCCTCTTGGACTGTATGTAGGCGAGGACGCGCGCTCGCGCGCCTCCAAATCGAAGAAGCTTGTGACGCGTCTGCTTCCTCCCCTTCGATGGTCACCCTCGCACAATTCGTGTCTGCCGGTAAGAAATATCGTCTTCCCCTTCTTTCGAGCCGGAGCTACCGCTGCCCCCTCTGCTTCAGATCTCTCACCCACATAGCACCTCCGCCCCTCTCCTAGAAAGAGAGGCAAACATTTGCCGCGCCGTCGCCGACATCGAGCAGAGCCGATGCGAACGACAACACACCCAACCGTCCGCCAATGCCCTAAAGAACAGACGAAGCACACACGCACCGGCCATCCACCCGGGTCAATCTCACGCGGTAAGCGCGCGAGACCGAGGACGGAACTATTGTCTGTCCTCCCCTCGCTGTCTCTCCTCCTCGCTCGATCTTCTGCTTCTCCCACTTGATTTCCTTTTCCTCTCCGTTGCCTTCTCTCTTTATTCTCTCCTTCACCACCGCCGCTTCAGTACCTCCCTTCGCATCTCCTTCCTTCCGTCCGTCGAGCTCAAGTCCTTCCCTCTCGCTTGAGTGAGACACCCTTAGCCCGCCCTCTCCGACTCATTCTCCTTCTTCTTCCGATCTTCCCCCCACCCCCCGTCCACCCGAGCCAACCTCTTCCCTTTCACCCCGCGCCCCCAAAAGAGGGCGCCGCTATCCGGCAGACGTGCAGCGGAGCCTTCCAGGCCAGGGACCCGATTCCGACCTACCCCAATGCATTGTCGGTCCTTCGTTGCCAGCCGTGTCGTTGCCCTGTAAGCAGCCAAGGCGTGACTATGGCGGAGAGATGACAGACAGAAGACGACGGCTTCCGAGCTGACGGCTCGGGCGTCAGCGTCCTTGATGCAGATATTCCCGTAGAACGCAGTATCCGGGGCCAAGTCCCACTACATCGCTCCAGTTCCGGTAATGGGGACCTCCCTGTTGTGTGCCCATCCTTGCCACCGCCGATGTCCATGGATCGTAGGGCAAGGCCATTCTCTTCATTTTCACGTTGGCTTATTAGGCAGGCGGTGAACTCGGTGCTTCCCCATTGGCTGCACATGTTCACCTTTTTTTTGTCCAAGGTGGTCTGTGAGTCCTCTATGGGGAGGTGCACATCACGCTAGAGAGGGGGACAGCCAGTCCCATTTCTTTTTTCTTTTTTAAATTTGGACCATTTCCCGATGTACGCATGTCATCCATTTGCAGGGGCCATGCTAATCTTCTCTGTATCGTTCCCATTTTTTTTAACGGATGTCCCAAAGGAAGCGGGTAGCCGGCGCCGTAGCGCTCTGCTCCCGTGACACGAACGGCATAAACTTAGGGTTTAGCCAGCTCGCAGACCATGCCCCGGAGCGTGCAGCACGGGGAAGGGGGGTCTTCGAGCGGTTGAGCTACACAAGTTAGCTCGAGCAACAGCGACACGAGCTTCTCCGGGGTTGAGACAAGGGAGTGGGCTGGCCCTCTGAGAAGGGGAGGGAGGCAGGCAGCATGGGGTTCTCAAACAAGAGTTGCGGAGTTGAACGACATACACGTGGCAGCATTCAAGACGGTGAAATCACGAACAAGTCGAACATTTATGAACCGAAGAACGCTGAAAGCGTCCTTCCCATAGAACACTTTGAAATGCAATGAGAGGAAAGCAAGATAACATACAAAATCGCAAAAGGAGGAACTTCAAAGGAGCAATACTCAACTCTGTGGGAGTTATGTCCACGTGTAAAAGACAGGCGAACGAACGAGAGAGAGAGAGAGAGAGAGAGAGAGAGAGAGAGAGAGAGAGAGATTTAGTTTCTCTGTAGAGACTGTCTCTTATACACATCTAGATGTGTATAAGAGACAGTACATAGCCTTCCTAGGCCTGTGCAGTGAAACAGAGGCAGAAAAGGAGATGTATGGAATGACCAGAGTTAGATTTCTCAACATAGTCCAATAGGACTATACATAGTCATGTATCTATACATAGCCATACATAGTCATATACCTATACTTAGTCATGTACATATATAGTCATATACCTATACGTAGTCATGTACATATACATAGCCTTCCTAGGCC